TGAATCTAGCCTCGTTTTCTTTTTCTTTCCTTTCTTTTATAGTGTTTAATTTTTTGGTAATAGAGAACTTCAAAGTCAGTAAATGGGACAGTATAATAAATCCTGATGTACTCACTGCTTGATATCAATAATTGCAACCTTAATTCATTCTAGTATATTTTTACAAGCGTTTCAGACTGAAATAAAGGGAGATTGTTCAGCCTCAGGTGTAGAAGCAGTGAGACCATTTCCCACCACGGAGGAGGATGAACAGCAGGAGAAGCTGGCAGCTCCCAGGAGCAGGTCCTCTGCCCCCACTGCAAGGCCCCTGTGTGTTCAATAAACTGACCCTTGTACAGAGACTAAGGCTCACTTATTGGAAACCATTACTGTTACAGTATCTAAGTAATTAACAAGTGATGCATAGGACTGGTCAGTTATGTGACTATACGTGCGCGTGTGTGCACGCACGAGTGCATGTTTGGGCCATTACAGAAACACCACCATTTCTTTGTAATCAGCTGAAATCACCACTCATTAGTGGGCCTCTCGTGGACTATAATTGATTTTACAGCCACCTGTCATTTCTTTTTTCTTTACAACTTTGTGCGTTTGTGTTTTTCATGGCATGCTCAGGGTACACTATGTTCTGCACGCAAGCAGGGGGCTGCACGGGCTCCATCTACCCCTCTCAGGCACGTCCCTTTTGATGTAATGTGTAGGATGGAACTTCTTCCCATGTACTCTGTGAAGGGGCCCCACAGCTCCCCAGCTGGGACAGCTGCTCTAGAGCCTTTGGCAGGGCTGGGCACCTGTGGAGCCTGAGGCCAGACCCAGGAAGCCACACTGTGGGAACCACAGGGCACCTGGAACATGGGTTTAATCTGAGCCTGTCTGTGGGTAATAGTGTCACAGTGGGAGGGCAGGAGTCAGGGTGAGTCAGTGACCCCTAAAAAGGGATCTCTTATGACTCACATGGCATTCCTTCTCTCATCCTTCTATCCTTCTACTTGCAGGACTTTCCTACAATTCTGTCTGTACTGGTGCATGGTTATGTAGCATAAGAATGGGGATCCTTCTTTGCTCAGACCAGCAAAAGAGAGAGAGAGGGAGAGACTGAGAGACTGAGAGAGAGAGAGACTGAGAGAGAAAAACAGGCACACAGAGAAAGAAACAGAGAGAAATACAGAAAGATAGACACACACACACACACACAGAGACAGAGACAGAGAGAGACAGAGACAGAATGACAGAGACAGAGACACAGAGAAGTTCACACAGCTGAGAGGGGGCTAAAGGAGGAAGTGTCCACTCCTGAGAAGGGAAGGGAAGAGAAAGGCAGAAGGAGAGGCCGGGCCAGGTGTCCCAACACAGGGAAAGGAGCACACAGGGGACATGCCTGGGCTGCCTCTAAAGGCCTGGCTCAGCTGAGGAATGACAGACCCCACAAGGGGCTTCCCATATCAGATGGGCCAGAACGTTCCCCTGGAGGTCACTAAACAGGAGCTCAAATCTCTCTTCCCTTTGGGTGGCTTCAAGACAGATGCCAAGGGCACTTTGTGCCTCTCTCCATCTGTCCCCTCTCCTCCTGGGGGTCCTGCTGTGGGCAGGTACAGGCGTGGGCCTAGCGGCATCAGTCAGAGGGGCTCACGCTGGGGCTCCTGTGGCCCACTGATCCCCTGGATGTCACTAATGATGTCCCCCTTGGCTTGCTACTGCCCTGGGCTTCCCAGACATAGCTACTCCTTTTGAAGGGTCCTCATCCCCAGAGGCCTGGGCCATAGGCAGCAGAGGGCTTCTCCTGGGGACAACCCCTACTCTTGTCACCTCCCATCCTGGCCCGGCCTCCTGTCCTGGCTACAGCAGGGGCACTGGCGTTGTGACATGGCATCTGATGGATGACCCAGCCCTGGTCCCACAGATGCAGCCCCAGCCCTCACCCCCAAACCAGCAGCCTGCCCACAGCATGCCCATTCCCTGAAGTCAGGGACCTGTCACTGCTCCCCTAGGCCTTGGCACTGCCTGCTCCTCCCACACTGGCCCCTCCTCCCAGCACACCCGCTTGTGGGCCACCTGGAGCTTTGCACTCTGTACACCTGTCTCAGAGCAGGTGCCATGGCAGTATAGGGGCCATCTCTCCTACTGGGGCCCAGGACAATTCCTGTCAGGGATGTGGGTAAGCATGATGGAGTACACCTTATTCCAGCCTCATTCCACTTCTAAGCCTGCTCCTTCAATGGGGCAAAGGTGCCCAGGGCAGCTGGAGACCCCGGAGGGAAGAAGGTCAGTTCCTCCTGGCATGCCCTCCTGGTGTTATGGATTGAATTGTGTACCCCCAAATTCATATGTTAAAGCCTAACCCCAGTGTGATGGTATTTGGAGATGGGAACTTTGGGAAATAATTAGATTTAGATGAGGTAAGGAGGGGGAGCCCCCATCATAGGATTAGCATTCTTATAAGAAAAGACACCAGAGAGCTTGTTTTCACTCTCTCTCCACCATGTGAGGGCACAGCAAGAAGTGGCTGTCTGCAAGTCAGGAAGAGAGCCCTCCCTGCAACCTGACCATGCTGGCACCTGATCTTGGACCTCCAGCCTCTAGAATAGTGAGAAATAAATTTCTGTTGTTTCCAAGCCATCAGTGGATGGTATTCTCTCTTATGGCAGCCTAAGCTGACCAATACACCTGAATCTCATCTTTCCAGGCCCCTTCCTGAAAAAGGGTCACCAGATCTATCAGGCAAAGTTAACCAGACTTACTCATCTGTCCATAGTGAGGTGAGAGTGAAAATATAGACCAAAAGGTCCCCAAGAGGGGTGCCCAGGGCCCAATTTCAGGCCACCTAGAAGTGGTGACCCAGTAAGGGATGGACCTTGATGCCAAAGGAATAAGTCAGCAATGATGGGGTACCAGGCAACCACAGCTGGTGAGAAGGGGCTTATGAGGGGTGGGGGTGGTGTCAGTGCAATCGGGCTCACCCCTAAGGAGCTGACATCCACATGGAGAAGTCACTGGGCGTGGGACTGAGGCCACAGGCTCCTGCAGATTATAAAGGAATGACCACAGGTAAGATCTGGAAGGTTGGTACCAGCAAGATGGTTGCTCTCGATCAGAGAAGTAGTAAGAGGGAAACCAGCAACACTTTAGTTTCCTCCAAAGCAATCAAAAGGAGAAAGAAGACAGTTCCTCTTGGGAGTCTGCACAGAGACAACCACAGCTGACGTCCTGGGACAACTTTGAAAGTGCAAGGAGGGCATTGCTCATTGCTCTAAGGTCAAACACCGGCTTGGGGTGGGGGCAGTACTTCCCAGAGACACAGGACTGGACCTGGGTGGGCCTGGGCAGCCAGCCCACTTGGAAAACATCAGATCCTTAGGATGACCCTAAAACCAAGCTAGGTTCCCCCAAGACAAGGACCAAGTCCTCTGTGCAGCCAGAGCAAGCAGACAGGAGTGGCCATTGCAGTTCCACGCTTCCCTCATCTGGGCCTTGGCGCCCTGCGATCTGGGCACTAGAAGAGGGGTAGATGGGGTGGAGACAAGTGCAGAAATCAGTGATTCTCATCCTGTCTTTGTTCAGAATTTGGTATTTTGTCCAACATAAATTTTTTTGCATTCATTTTGATGATTTAAAATAGCATATATCTTGATGATTGATGTTTCTGGTGACCCCTTAAAGTTTGTGCCCAAAGCATTGTCTTGCTCCACTCTTGGCCCTGACAAGAATGTCAGTGACTTCCCAGGATTCCGGGGTTCACAGCTGGCCCTGGTCAGGACCAGCACCCCCTCACACGTGGAGCAGTTACAGGATGGGGCATGGGCAGCTCCAGAGTCTGAGACTGGTTGCCCAGCCCAAGAAGGTGGTTCACTCACATGCCACTGTGAATGCAAGGGGCTCAGGGACAGCTCTGCTGTGGCCTTTATTAAAGTGATTCCCTGTGCACACATATGTGCACGTGCATGTACACATGCAGGTATGCACAGGTGCAAACATGCACACATAGCACATTCACACACGTGCACGCACACACACGGGCAAACTATGCTTTCTCTCCCTGTTTGGGGAAAGTGCTGGATCTCCACAGCCCACATGTCCACCTCTCCCTAGCTCCGAGCCATCTTTCTGGTCATGCCAAAGACAGCCGTTTCCTTCTCCCTGGGTGGCCTGAAGGGTTCCCTTTGGGCAGGATTTCTCATCCAAATTGCTGCCATAGCACCAGTGAGAGGCAGATCTGGGACTTGGTTGGGGCCTCAGCTGGTCCAGCTGTCTGGTTGTGCACCCTCTCACTTGGGTTGGTTGTTTTCCTCCTAACATCATTAGCTCTGCCAGAAGCAGAGCCAGCCCAGGGTTTATGCTGACTTGGTCATTTCACACAGAGGCGAGAGGGAAGCATGCCCAAAGTAACTGGCTCTGCTCACTTACCCCTTCTCCCCCACTCTGCCTGGGCCCCCAGCTGGGGTGATGCAGGCACGTTCCCCCCAATGTTTCACAGCAAAGTCCCCTGTCTCCAGCTCTCTCCTTGCTCACTGCTGGCCTCAGGGCTGGCTCAGAGCATGCCTGGATTTCTCTTTGTTTTTGGAAAAAGTAACTGCCCTGCACTCCTCAGCAGGCCACAGCAGCCCTCAGGCTCCCTGCGAAGTGATTCCTGCGAGAAGGCAAGGCATCTTTGACTTGTCACCATGTCTAGTGAGTGTTGTCTTAAAATCAGGTAGTGGGCTTTGCCCACAAGACCTCACATCCCTAACCCCCGCATCTAGGGCTCTAAATTCTCCAGAGCCCCTCCCCAGTGGAGGCCACTGTCTGGACTTCTTGGCAGCCTGACTTCCAGGTCGCAGGGCCAGAGTCCAAAGCTGGACAGGTCTTCCAGGCAGTAGGGGCCTTCCTGCCCTAGAAGGCACCCCTGGCAAGACCCTTCTCAAAGAGCCTGTGCATAAAATCAGATTCTGAGGCTCAAACAAACCACGGAATGTTGGGGACAGGCAAGCAAACACTCCCAGAATGCCCAATGGAGGGCAAGCTACCTTCTCCTTCTTGGCGGCCTCCATCCTGGCTCTGTCGTCCAGCATCTGCACAGCAGCCAGCGCAGGGAGCTGGGACCCCTCAGCCTTCCCCAACAGGCTTCTGAAGCAGAAATGTCCAAGGCTTCTCCCCTGCAGGGGTCACGGCCCGCCCTGGGTCCCCGGGAGAATGTGGTCCTCCTCAGGCTGGTTTGGGGTTTGAGGTTCAGTCACAGTTTCCTCCTTTTCATTGTTCTCCAGCGAGTCGGCAAGCATTCCCTTCTGGACCCTTCCTCACTGAGCCTGGATGTTCTCCAGGCAGGGCCATCGCTTGGCGCTCAGGTGGCGTCCTTAGCGCTTTCTCTCCAGGTTCTGTTGAGCTGTGGGACTTAGTGTCCTTCAGACAGACTCAGTAGGAAAGGTCCTCTCCCTCCTGTGGCCTGGGGACAGCTTTTGAGTCATTAAGCTGCAGGTGACTGTGTCTCTCACGCCCCAGCCTGCTTCCCCGGGGCTCAGGCGCCGCTCGGCATTTCCTGCTCCAACCAGGTGTGGAGTGGGGGATTCTCCTGCCAGGGCTTACTGTGCTCCTGAGAGGGCCTGTGGTTGTCATGGTGACCAGAAGTGGACTCAGCAGGGCTGACCGTGCTGTCATTAGAGCTGCCATGCATAAAACTGGGACTGGTGGCAAAGAGCCTCCATCCCCATCACCATGGTGACCACTCAATCACCTTGTCACTGAAGTGACTGCTAGCCTGTTAAGCCTTTGCCACCTGTTCAGGTCCCGGGGCAGTGTCTCAGGGTCTCCCACACTCCTGTTTCGAGGAGCAGAGGACCCCGTGAGTCTGGAAGCAGAGGAAAGGGAGCAGGCAGCTTGGTGTGGCTCAGGCGCAGGCCCATGGGACCATCGGAGGGCTTTGGTGTGGCCTGTCCTGATTATTGTCTTGAAATCTGAACTAGAACAGTAAACCTGGCCCACACAAGCCTGGCTGAGTTTGAAACTGCCAGAACAGAGGCCCACAGGGACTGGCTCCTCCTCTGGACCTGCTCAAGAAGCTTCTGCCTGGGATGCCACCCACTCTCTCCCTCGCAGCCCAAGCGCCCCTGGAGAGGTTGCCCTGTGCAGTAGGGAGGCCCAGTGAGTGGATGGAGCAGGGGGCCAGGGTGCTGGAGCCAACTCAGCGGCAGGCTCAGACAATAGTCTGGAACAAAATGTACTTCTGCCTAAGATACAGAGGTCTGGTGTGTATTTCCCACTCACGGCCCTTTTCAGTTAGGATCGGCCACTTTTCAAGTGTTCACTGTGACTGGTGGCTACCATACTGGGTAGTGTTGGGATAGACCAAAGAGGGCTCAGGACCCAGCTCCAGGCCACCTATACTCAGAGATCCAGCAGAGGGGGTGAGGAGGAGTGGCCAGTGCGATCTCTCCAGACAGATGTGCTGCAACACTTTAAAATCAACTTCCTATTGATGGTCATTGAGGCAGTTTCAGATTTTCACTATTACGAAGGAGGCTGTGGCAGAAGTCCTTGAATTTCACCAGAGTAAGTGTGTGTCAATGTTTCTTCTGGTTGGCTCCTGGAGGCTGAATGGCTAGTTCAAATGCTACACACATTTCACATCTTGGTAGGCAGGACCACGTGGCCTCCTCACATGGCTTCACCAGTTTCTTCCACCAACATGAGAAGTTTGGCTTTATCCTGGCCAGTCCTTCAGATGATAAATCTTTATGAGTTTTTTGCCGATCTGTCACCTCATTGTTTGAATTGCAAAATGCTGGACACCTTTTCATGTGTTTCTTGGTGATTGCATATCTTCTTCTAAGGATGATTTGTTTATATTATTTAACTATGTTGCTATTGGATTATCTTCTGCCTATGGATTTGGAGAAACCATTTTATATTTCATCTGTAGTATCTATCAATCCTTTGTCTGTTAAATATGCTATGATATCTCCCCTAGTTTATTGCTAAACCTAACAACTTGATTAATCGTGTCTTTCATCATACAGAAGTATCCGGTTTTTATGAATTTCAATCTTTGTTTTCTTGTTTTGGGGTTTTTATATCTTGTTAAGAAAACCATTTCCAATCCCCAAATTGTAAAAATGTTCTCCCACATTTCCTTCTAATATTTTTCCAAGTTTTCTATTTGTTCAGTACTTTAGTCTTTCTGCAATTGCTTGTGCTGGTGCGCCATCATTCTAAGGGCACATCTCACATCCTCGCCTTTCTTCTCATTCCTCCTTTCTGCTCTCCTGGGTCCTGGGAGATGGTGGTTTGGGTATGGTGCTAGGGAAGAGTCTAATATGGCTATTTGGTGGGGAAGCAATCCCTTCCCCACTGCTCTGGAATGTTGGCTGCACCCACAGTTTGTATTCCATTATTTCTCATTGTAAGGGAACAGCTCTGCTCTGGTCACCTTACAGGTGTACCCAAAGGCCACACAGGCAAAGCTGGGAACCACAGAGAGCTGAGTCTTGTCAGAACACTGTGTGATCCTGCTGGAGGCCGTATCTCACTGCCTTTCTCACCTCCCTGGGAGGGTCAGGAGAGTTCCTTATCGTCTCCAGGTTCTCGTGGGACAGATGTGAGGCTCGCAGCTGCAGTCTAGGGTTGGCTCCGCAGCAAGGAAAGACACTGCAAGCATCTTGCACCTTTGGCTTTAGTGTCACCCTTTTTAGAGCACAGGAGAACCCAGGGGCCTGCACCTTGGGTTACCCTTTCTTTTGCTGTCTGTGTTGGTAATAACTTATCTAAATATAGAAGTCACTCCTTATACTTCACCTGCCGAGTCAGGCAGGCCCTGGCCTTGGCCTTGGCTTTGCCTTGCACACTGCATGTCTCATTCCTCTGCTGATACTACGCTCTTTTGGTTTGTATAATGTTAGTTTTTTAAAATATCTGATGGGGGCAGGAAATTGTTTTCTTAATAAGATTTTTTTTTCCACAAAATTTTCTTTGCCATGTGCCTTTTATCTTTCTTATAAATCTTAGCACTACTCATCCCACTTCAGAAAATGATGCTGTTGACAATTTCACTGGAAATGCATTGACTTTGTAGGTTTAGGGATTCATTTTAGAGAACTAACCTCTTGATAATATTGAGTTTTCTCATCTAGAAATACGTGTTGTTTCATTTATTTTGGTTTTATTTTATGTCCTTCAGGTGAATTTCATTATTTTTCTCATATAGAACTTACATATTTCTCGTTAGATTTATTCCTAAAGAAAGGCAATACATTTATTAGGAGAAGGAGCAATTGTCATTATAACTAATATTGATGAAAATATTTATGATTCGCAAAGTACTTTTGCATTCATTCTGTCATTTAATCAGACAATCTCAGTGCAGCCGGCAGTGGTATTATTATTATTATTATTATCATTATTATTATTATTATTTTATTTTATTTTATTTTTTTGAGACAGAGTCTTGCTCTGTCACCCAGACTGGAGTGCAGTGGCTCGATCTCCATTCAATGGAACCTCCACCTCCCAGGCTCAAGCAATTTTCAGGCCTCAGACCTGAGAGTAGCTGGGACCACACGCATGCGCCACTGCACCCGGCTAATTTTTTGTATTTTCTTTTTAGTAGAGATGGGGTTTCACCATGTTGGCCAGGCTGGTCTCAACTCCAGACCTCAGGTTCCGCCCACCTCTTCCTCCCAAAGTGCTGGGATTACAGCAGAGTGGGGAGAGAGCGGCTGAAGCAGAAGTGTGGAATGTTTGGCCACCACACCTTGCCAGTGGTAGTATCATTACCACCACTTTCCAACTAAGGTCACTGAGGCTGGGGAGGTTAAAGGGTTGGCAGGTATGGTCTCCCCACCTTAATGTCTCCCTAAAGGTTCCTTACTATAGCTTCCTGCTAAGGACAGGGGCCAAGACAGTCCCTCACACGGAGGTCCCAGGTTCTGCCATGTGGCCCTGCCCTCCCTGGCGACAGTTGATTGAAACGTCACCTGATCCAAGGGCAGCCACACCGCACACTGGCCAGAGCCTAGTGTAGCCGAGCATCTCAGCTTTAAAATGCATTTTAAGGCGTTTTTCTTTAGTCTTAAAATGTAGCCTTGAAATGTGCTTTGAAACTCTGCTTCTCTCCCTTTCCCACTAGACACTCCTTTGCACCATGCCCACTTATCTAACTATATGCTTACTCGGGAATTCCAGGGGCTAATCTTAAAACAAAAACCAGACATGGAACCCCTACAGAATCCTCCAACTTAGGGGGAGTCGGAACAATTTGTCCACCACCATCTGGCTGAAGTCAAGATAACACCAACCAGACCTCAGGATAGGTGATTACTCAAGACAGCCATTGGATCAAGACACACAGACCCTATAGCCTGCACCGCTCCCATCTATCTCCCATACCAAGTTTTCCTTTAAGAATCCTATGATAAATTTTAAAATTTGAGATAATAGAGTGCTTTAAAACAACAATTCACCATCTTCTTAGTTTGCTGGCTCTAGTTAAAACTACTTTTCCTCCCACCAAACCTCGCCGCTTATATATGGCCTTCAAGCGGCGGAATCTGAGTCCAGTTACAATGGGGGATGTTTACCCAACAGGGACTACTTGAAACAATGAGTAGTTTAGTTGGGGACTGCAGAGTGGCAGAATCTCTGAACCATTCAATGCTCTCGAAGGAAAGTTCTCCATCCTCCTCCCTGGGGTGGGGTGGATGGTGCATTCCTGGTTGACGAATTGGGGAGCAGGTGGGGAGGGAGCTGCCCTCCCCAGGTATAGCTTCTTCAGGATGCCCCTTGCCTTTCTGGCCCCATCCCTCCAGACACTCGACACTTCTGCTTCAGCCCCTCCCTCCCCCTCTGCTGGTCCCTGCCCCTCAGCCGGTTGCCTCCTAACTTCACACCTGTCCCCCTCTTTCCCCCACCACCCTTGGTAGCATCTCTTACTTGCGCCACCTTCCAATTGTTCTCCCCCTGCCCTTTGTCTTGTGTCATTATAGTGGAGCATATTTGAAAGGGAGTTCACATAAACATATATATTTAATCATCCATGTTAACCGAATGTTTGTATGTATCCTGCTTGGGGTTTCCTGACCCTCTCCAATCTGTGCCAGTTTCTTTGCTTCTCTCTTCTTAAGTGTCGAAGAAAGTCCTGGGCTTTACTCTGATTGGATGACCTACTGATGGCCAGCTGATTGGCCTGTTGATTGACTGAAGCTTGGATCAGGTGCCTATCCATAGACTAATCACTGTGGCAATAAGGACCACTGGTTCATAGGCTGGGGCCTGGGCACCACGTGGCAGGATGCGGGATCAGCCTCTAGGTCATGATGTGGTTTCCTTGTGAGGACTTTCCCTGTGTGCTCACTACTGTTGTCTGTTAGGTTGTGTTTGGTGTGCCCAGCCTTCCCAAGGGCACACCTTGTGTTCTTGCTCTTCCTCTGCATCCTTCTTTCTGCTCTCACGTGGGGCCTACAGCCCCAAGGATGTGGGAGATGCACACCTGGTTGTGGAGCAGGGGACTGCCCTGCAGGCCTTCCCACCTGCCCCTCCCTGACAGCTCTGCAGAATTCCTCTCGCTTTTTCTATGGGGCAGCCCCACGACTATCAGGGTACCATCGATAGGACGAGCCGCTGGCCTAAAGGACCATTTGTCCTCATTCTAAGTTCCTGGCATTCATCCAGCATGGCTACTGATAACTGATATGGTTTGGATATATGTACTCACCAAATCTCATCTGAACTGCAATCCCCAATACTGGAGGTGGGGCCTGGTGGGAGGTGTTTGAATCATGGGGGCAGATCCCTCATGAATGGCTTGGGCCATCCGCTTGGTGATGAGTCAGCTCTTGCTTTGAGTTCACAAGAGATCTGGTTGTTTAAAAGTGTGGCACCTCCTAGTGCCTCTCTCTCTCTCTCACTCTTGCTTCCACTGTGTGATGTGCCTGCTTCCCCTTTGCCTTCTGCCATGACTGTAAGTTTCCTGAGGCCTCCTCAGAGTTTGAGCAGATGCCAGCACCATGTCTCCTGTAAAGCCAGCAGAACTGTGAGCCAATGAAACCTCTTTTCTTTATAAATTACCCAGTATCCAGTATTTCTTTATACCAAGGCAAGAATGGCCTAACACAGATACATATCCATCTCTAGTCCCTCAGCTGCAGAGGGGTGTCTTAGGACAAATACAGCTTCTGGGAAGCCCCTGCTGGGGCACAGTCTCAAAATCAGGGCACCTGTTTCCTCTCTTCCTTGGCTATAATCCTTTCCTGCCCACGTATACTCCTGTCCTGTCCCTCCCTTGCTCTGACGTCACCTATTGCTTCATAGCCAGTGGCAGAGCTCAAACCTTTGATGGCAGACTATGTCTGTCTTCCCTGTGACCTGGAGAACCCAGAGCGAGCCCAGCATGCCTTGGTGTGGGGTTGTAGTGGGGAGCAGTGTTCCTGGGGGCTGGGTCTGCTGACAGATCCTGATTGATGACATCAAGTCTGTGCATCTGAGGCTTGGTGACCCACTCAGGCCATGGAGGCCTGACCACATTGGTGGCCCCTTTCCACACTCCTTTCCTGTAGGAACTATGGAGGCAGCTCAGCTGCCATGGCCTTGGCTGACTGAATGAGGTATGGTGGCAAGGGCCATTGTGTGACTGGGCTCCCCACCTGGACTGGGCTTCCTGGGGGTATGATCCTTGATAGGCTTTTGCCCAGCTCCCCAAAGGTTCTGTTGTACAGCAAGGGCTGGCACCTTATGTGAGCTGGGCAAGGCTGCAAAAGTGGGTGGGTACTTGTTTTGCTCAGTGGGGCAAACTTACAGGGCCTGGGCCATTTATCTTGGACAGTGATAACTCCAGCTCTGTCTGCAGAGAGGCTTTTCTTCTAGGTCCCAGAACCCAAGAGGGGAGCCTGGACTAGAGAACTCTGCTACCCACACTCCTATGCAGGCTTCATTCATAGCCTTAGTGCCCAGTCCCTGCATTTTCCATTCCCACAATGCTGTACTTGCAGAACAGTTGCAAGAACAATACAAGAAATTCCCAGATACCCTTCATCCTGATTCCTGTATTTGCTTTCTCTCTCTCTCTCTCTCTCTCTCTCTCTCTCTCACACACACACCCTGTAAGAGTAAGTTGCAGACACAATGTCCCTTTACTTCTAAATTCTTGTGTATATTTCCTATAAACAAAGACTTCTCTTATATAACCATGGCACAGTGATTGAAAGCAGGAAATTAAAATAGATATAATACTATTATCTAATCTAGAGGCCTTACTTGGGTTTTAGCCTATCTTCAAATCTCTACTTCCCATAGATGCCTTCAACCCACTATGATTAATAATCTATTTTTCATTAATGAGAAGACAAATAATGATCACTGTTACCTGTTAAACATCAGCAATGACTAGAACTTGTAACATAATGTTTTATTATTCTCAACAACATTCCTATGGAAAGTATATTTTTCTAGTTTTATAGATAAAAACAAAAGGAGACTCAGGGAGGTAATGGTTTGCTCACTTTTGTGATTTTGTGATGTGTCAGTGCTGGGATTGAATCCAAGTTGGGTGACAGCCGGGGTGATAGAGCAGAAGGCAGGTCTTGCTTTTTGGTAACACAGTGAACTTGGGAAGTCTGCAAACACATGACTATGGATGAGACTTCCTGGAACAGTAGAGGCTGAGTGAGGTCAGAGAGGAGCAGGAAGAGTTGCTGGGAGTGGAGCCGGGCTGCATGACAGTTTGTTAAGCATTTCACTGTTGACATCTGAACCCCAACTTTGTCCCTTACTAACAATCTCCTTACACGGAATCTCAGTTTCTATGTCTGTAGGGAGGCAATAATATCTTCCCCTGGTTTTTGTGAGGATTAAACGATGTGGCACATGGAAAGTACTTGGTGTAATGTAAACTTCGGGACAGACACTATAATGTGTCAAGTGAATACACTGAAATTTATTCCATCCAAGCACTGTCTTCCTGATCTTTTTGCACAACTTTCAGTGGAAGGAAGAGAGTCTCCAGAGATTTTCCTCAGAAATGGCTCTCACCTGCCTCCTATAGGGAAATGGTGTCAGTGCAGGCAGATGAGCCTGGACTGATAACCCCCAGCAACCCAGCTTGTCAGACTACTGTGTCCATATCTGTGGGTGGCTGAGCCTAACCACCGCCAATGGCTGCTCCTAATGTTTACCACCAAAACAGGGGAAATGTGGAAAAGCCCTTTCCACCCTCTGTACTTGGAAATACCCAGGGAAGAGGGTTGGTGAGAGAGGTACTAAGTGAGTGGGCAGGTGGTGGGAACTTCCTTTCACCACAGATTATTTAAAGCAATGTTTCTCAGCTAGGCGCGGTGGCTCACGTTTGTAATCCCAGCACTTTGGGAGGCCGAGGTGGGTGGATCACATGAGGCCAGGAGTTCAAGACAGCCTGGCCAACATAGTGAAATCCCATCTCTATTAAAAATACAAAAATTAGCCGAGTGTAGGGGTGCATTCCTGTAATCCCAGCTACTCAGGAGGCTGAGGCATGAGAATCGCTTGAACCTGGGAGGCAGAGGCTGCAGTGAGCGGGATCACACCATTGCACTTCTGCCTGGGCAACAGAGCAAGACTCTGTCTCAAAACAAAACAAACATATATATATATATATATACACACACACACACATATATATATATGCAAAGGAATGTTTCTCAAAACTACTGCTCCCAAGGGACATGTTGACATTTTTGATTGTGCAGTGGGGAGGGGGTAGGTTGGTACTGACATTTAGTGAGTACACAATGCACAAGGCAGTCTCCCAACAACAAAGAACTATCCAACCCAAAATGTCAATAGTGCCAAGGTTGAGAAACCTTGATTTAGAGTAATGTTTAAAGTGACGCTGTTGTTTTTCCAATACATCATCTCTTTCCTATAATCTCAGATGCGGCTGCTTCTAGCATCACAATTTTGTGACCTTACTGACAACTTCCAAAGACCAAGTTCCTTTCTGATTACATGTGAAACTGTGCCCAACAAGGTTAAAGAAACTAGTAACTAACAGAAATCTTGAGCTTGTCTAGAGGACAGCCGATAAGGAAACAGTTTGCTATAATCCCCTCTGCTTATACAACTTCCTGAAACAGGTTGGAACCAATATGGCTGACTGGAGCCTGTGCAAAATAGACTTACTAGCCCGAGGAGCGGCCCTTTGATGTCACAGCCCGGATTTCCAGAGCTTGTTTTAAACCAACTCCTGAATCTGCATGTGATCCTTGAAGCAGCATGAAGAAGCAACAGCTCATGGCCAAGAGATTTTCTAAACGTTTCTTCGTTTCAGCCAATCACTGTCCAGCCCGAAACTCCAATTCCAAAATCTCTCCCTTAAATCTACTGCTGTGAAGCAAGTATTGGGAGCCAGACTTCAGCCCATCTTCTGTCTCCTTGCAAGGCTGCTTGGCAATACATCTTTCTTGCTACAAAAATCCAATGCTTGGGTGTTTGGTTTTACGTTGTGCGCAGGCAAATGCAGCCGGTTTAGTTTGGTAACACGTGATGTCACTTAATACACAAGAAACAGGTAAGTTATGGCATCCTCAGGGAACTGTGCCTCACTCATTCCTATCCGTAGACTTGCCTTCCTTCAACAACGCAAGCAAAAAGAAGGGTTCAGGCCGCTCTGGGAGGCCCAGCACCACCCAGCACAGGACAGTACAGTGTTCCGCTGAGCGCCCGACTTTACCTGGCGAGCAGGGAGGGACCAGACTCATGCGAGGCGTGGAGCCCCGCCCCTCGTGGCATTGAACTTCCGTCCGCACATTTCTGCATCCGGGGTATGAGAACCCATAACCAGGCTGACCGGATCCGGAAGTGGGTTGAGAGCCGGGAGGAGGAAGCCGGCGGTGGCCCCGTCAGCAGCGGGCTGCTGAGAGACCGGTAGGCGGCGGCGGTCTC